CTATTGTGACACAGGATCTAATTAGTGGCACTTGTCAACGTATCCACTGTTAGCGTAACACACCCGCTTTAAGGACACTGACTGCTATTCAATCTATAACAGTGAAAAAAGATTATTTTTTTTTTAAAATCAAACTATTGTGACACCAGATCTAATTAGTGGCACTTGTCAGCGTATCCACTGTTAGCGTAACACACCCGCTTTAAGGACACTGACTGCTATTCAATCTATAACAGTAAAAAAAGTTTTTTGTTTTTAAATCCAAGCTATTGTGACGCAGGATCTAATTAGTGGCACTTGTCAGCGTATCCACTGTTAGCGTAACACACCCGCTTTAAGGACACTGACTGCTATTCAATCTATAACAGTAGAAAAAGTTTTTTGTTTTTAAATCCAAACTATTGTGACACCAGATCTAATTAGTGGCACTTGTCAGCGTATCCACTGTTAGCGTAACACACCGCTTTAAGGACACTGACTGCTATTCAATCTATAACAGTGAAAAAAGATTATTTTTTTTTTAAATCCAAACTATTGTGACACCAGATCTAATTAGTGGCACTGGTCAGCGTATCCACTGTTAGCGTAACACACACCCGCTTTAAGGACACTGACTGCTATTCAATCTATAACAGTGAAAAAAGTTTTCTGTTTTTAAATCCAAGCTATTGTGACACCAGATCTAAGTGGTGGCACTGGTCACCGTATCCACTGTTAGCGTAACACACCGCTTTAAGGACACTGACTGCTATTCAATCTATAACAGTGAAAAAAGTTTTTTGTTTTTAAATCCAAGCTATTGTGACACCAGATGTAATTGGTGGCACTGACTGGGGAAATGGGCACAGTATGCACTGTGAGCCTGACACAGAAGCTGGCAGCAGTGGCAGACAACTGACTGCTATTCAATCTATAACAGTGAAAAAAGTTTTTTGTTTTTAAATCCAAGCTATTGTGACACCAGATGTAATTGGTGGCACTGACTGGGGAAATGGGCACTGTGAGCCTGACACAGAAGCTGGCAGCAGTGGCAGACAACTAAGTGCATTTACATTACATAGAAAAAAAAAATCCAAAAAAAGCATACCCTTATCCCTAACCTAGCTATGCTTTTCCCTATCTTATGAACAGCAGCTACACTTTCCCTCCTCTTACTAAGCATGCAGCTTGAGAATGAATCTAAAATGGATGCTGTCCAGTAGGTGGGAGGGTCTGCTAGGGAGGCTGTGCTGCTAATTGGCTGGAATGTGTCTGCTGACTGTGAGGTACAGGGTCAAAGTTTACACAATGATGACGAATAGGGGGCGGGTCGAACCGCGCATATGTTCGCCCGCCGTGGCGAACGCGAACATGCTATGTTCGCCAGGAACCGTTCGCCGGCGAACCGTTCGGTACATCACTAGTGGCAAGCGGCGGGATCCCATGTCCCTGCCAACAGACCCATGAACTACAGTGCTCTAAAGCGACCTACACTGCAGGTCTTGTGTGGAGCCAGAGGAATAACGCCTGGTGGGCGTAACAAGGCCGAATTGATTGCTGTGCTCATGGAGGCCGGCCAGGCACACAGTGAGGCAACAAACCCCAGCCAGGGGCCGGAGATGAGGAGGAAGTGCTCAAGGAGGTGGAACGGCGCCTGGCATATTACCGAGAGCTACCCTTTTTACAAGACTTTGAGCACCAGTGCCTACTCCAAGACGTGGACCCCAGCAACTAGGTCACCATCCTGGCCAGCAAACTAGTGGGGAAGGCAGCAGATATTTACCGGGCTGTACCAGAAGAGCAGATGAGAGACTATCCCTTTATTACATAAATCCTCCTGGCCTGGTATGCGGTCACTCCCGAGCAATACCGCCAAAAGTTTAGAGGGACCCGGAGAGGGTATAAGGAAACCCATGCGGAGTGGGCATGCCGCATCACAAGGGCCACCAAGAACTGGCTCAACTTCCATCGAGCCAAGTTCTCGGAGGAGATCGCCAGCTCGTCATGCTAGAGCACTTTTTCAATAGGCTTCCCAACGACACGGCTGGTGAGAGACCGCCAGCCCCAGACCCAAGAAGTATTGGTATGAGCTACTGAAGCCAGCTCACGGCATTTGGGCAGGAGCCTTGGCCAGGCATCTCTCAGGATCTGAGGCAGTACTGCCAGATGTCTGCCAGAGAGTGGGGAAGAGAAGGGACTGGCACAGGGTCCCCCTCCATCACCTACCTATTAGTGAAGATCTGTTCGGCCGAGTAGCTGTCGACAGTATAGGTCCTCTAGCCAAGCCTAGTCCCTCTGGGAAGAAGTACATTCTGACCATTGTGGACTATGCGACTCGGTACCCTGAGCAGTATTCGGGCAGAGACTGTGGCTGAAGCCTTGATGCGAGTGTTCTCCCAGATGTGTTTTCCCTGGAAGATTCTCTCAGACCAGGGCACCCAGTTTACTGCTGAAATGACCCACCAACTGTGGAGATTGTGCACATTAAACCAATCCTGAGCTCCCCTTACCACCCCACAGACCAATGGCCTGTGTGAGCGCTTCAACGGTACGTTGAAGCAAATGCTCCGTACCTTTTTGCGGCGACTCACAAGGATTGAGAGAGATTCCTGCCCCATCTCCTGTTTGCCTATTGAGAGGTGCCACAGGAATCGACTGGGTTCTCCTCGTTCAAACTGCCATGCCAGGGAACTCCTTGGAGCTGGCATTGGTGTGCTCGGTCCCTGGTTGCGGTGGGCAGTAGCAGGTGTACTGTCTAGGGGATGGCTACTCCGCTTTTGCACCCTGGTCTAAGAAGAGGAGGTGGATATGGAGTTGGAGGTTGAGGAGGCGGTGACCGTGGTGGCAAAGATCCATTCGGATGTCTGCCCTATCAACTTTCGATGTTACATTCTGCGCCTACCACGGTGACCACGGATAACATGGAATCAGGGTTCGATTCCGGAGAGGGAGCCTGAGAAACGGCTGCCACATTCAAGGAAGGCAGCAGGCGTGACGATAAATAACAATACAGGACTCTTTACAGGCCCTGTAATTGGAATGAGTACACTTTAAATCCTTTAACGAGGATTTATTGGAGGGCAAGTCTGCTGCAGAGCGACTGACCCATGCGTGCTCCAGCTGAAACTCCATTATCGCCTGCTGCTGCTCGCACAGTCTCTCCAGCATGTGCAAGGTGGAGTTCCACCTTGTGGGCACGTCGCATATGAGGCAGTGAGCGGGAAGGCTGAAGTTACGCTGCAGCGCAGACAGGCGAGCAGCAGCAGTGTGAGAACGCCAAAAGCACGCACAGCCGCTACAGTAAACTCCAAATGGCTCATTAAATCAGTTATGGTTCCTTTGATCGCTCCATCTGTTACTTGGATAACTGTGGTAATTCTAGAGCTAATACATGCCAACAAGACTAGGGGACGGCCGCTCCGGATTTGCACCCCGCTCCCTCTTATGCTGTGCTGGTGCCTCTGTGCAACCACCGCCTCTTCCTCCAAACTGCATACGTCACTCAAATGGCCTTGATTCCATGTGGGGTCTAGGACCTCAGCATCCCCCACATCATCTTCCACCCATTCCTCAACCCTGCCCTCCTTGCCAGTTTGCACACCGCAGAAAGCCACAGCAGTTGGCACCTGTGTTTTTCCAGCATGTAAAGTCTGCAAAGGACATTTGGAAATTGTTTTAGAATTGTATCCAGGCAACAGTTTTCCCTATAAACTGACCTCTCAGTTTGACTTGTGAGGTTATTGCCCCAGAATTACAACATTGTTTAAGTACCTCTTAGCTATTAATAACTGGTTTAAATATAGCAGCTTGTTATCTGGTAGTTTCTAGTGTAGAAAATATCAATCTGTTTTCTATCACTTAGATCTGTTTAACAAGTGTTGTAGGTGTGAAACGATATTACAAGTAACCGATGTAGTAAATTCGAATCAAAGTTCCATTTCCAAAAAACAATTCTCGCCTATCTTATGTGGGTTATTGCATTTTTAAGATGTAGACTTATTGTATCACACTAGCCATGCACAGTTAGATTCTCTAGCACGTTGTTTTGGTGTTTGGTTTTTAACTTTGTAGTTGTGTCTTTACACAATGTAGAAATGTATATTAATGCTTCTGTATATGAAGCAATCACAATAACACCTATTTTTCACTTTTTTGAAAAGTCTTTAGACTTTCTTGAGAAGCGGTAACTAGCCAGTGTTGCACCAGATATGAAGTGCACACCCCAAATGTACTATTTAGCACCTAAAGAATTAGAATTTTTCAAACTGCGCTGTAACCACAGTATTTGACGGTTCTATTTAACTCTCAGATATGAAGTGGAGACCCCAAATGTACTATTTAGCACCTAAAAAATTTGAATTTTTCAAACTGCTATGTCACAGCAGTATTTGACAGTTCTATTTTACTCTCAGATATGAAGTGTACGCCCCAAATGTACTTTTTAGCACCAAAGAAATGTGAATTTTTCAAAGGGCTATGTAACCACAGTATTTGACGGTTCTATTTGACTCTCAGATATGAAGTGCACGCCCCAAATGTACTTTTTAGCACCAAAGAAATGTGAATTTTTCAAAGTGCGATGTAACCACAGTATTTGACAGTTTTATTTGACTCTCAGATATGAAGTGCACGCCCCAAATTTACTTTTTAGCACCTAAAAAATTTGAATTTTTAAAACTGCTATGTCACAGCAGTATTTGACGGTTCTATTTGACTCTCAGATATGAAGTGCACGCCCCAAATTTACTTTTTAGAACCAGAGAAATGTGAATTTTTCAAAGTGCGATGTAACCACAGTATTTGATGGTTCTATTTGACTCTCAGATATGAAGTGAAGGCCCCAAATTTACTTTTTACCACCTAAAAAATTAGAATTTTTAAAACTGCTATGTCACAGCAGTATTTGACGGTTCTATTTGACTCTCAGATATGAAGTGCACGCCCCAAATTTACTATTTAGCACCAAAGAAATGTGAATTTTTCAAAGTACGATGCAACCACAGTATTTGACGGTTCTATTTGACTCTCAGATATGAAGTGCACGCCCCAAATTTACTTTTTAGCACCTAAAAAATTTGCATTTTTAAAACTGCGCTGTAACCACAGTATTTGACGGTTCTATTTGACTCTCAGATATAAAGTGCTCTGTGGCACTGGGCTCAGGGCAGGGTACAAAAATGTAGTATAGCACCCACAAAAATAATCAAGGTAGTTTGCAGATTCAACACCAGAATTCTTTCCTAATCTGTCCCACACAGCTGCAGCATCCTGTCCCTACACTAATAAGAGCTCATGTGACGTGCGGCGCAGCGTGACTCCAGCTTATATATAGAGGCTGGGTCACATGCTGCACTGGCCAATCACAGCCATGCCATTAGTAGGCATGGCTGTGATAGCTTCTAACGGCACATGAGTCAAACGCTTGTTGATTGGCTGCCCTCCAGCCTTTCAAAATGCGCCATTAAATCACCGAACACTGAACTCCAACCCGAACATACTCTGACACTGATATGTCCGTGTTTGGGTCCGGGGTCCAAAAACCATAATGTTCGGTACGAACCCGAACTTTACAGTCCGGGTTCGCTCAACTCTACTGGGAATCGTTATACTTCTAGATAACAGACATATATTTGGCCATTCAGAAATTCAACAGGACTGAATTTTCTGAAATATTTTACACTTTTATATAGCTACATAAATGTAATAGTTTGCTAAAAATATGAGCATCTTACAAAACAGTTAAACTAATTTTGCATGAGTTCTGTGATTTCTCTGTTGAGGCCCTGGGGAGTCAGCATAGCTAAATGGACAAGGGCACATGTATGAGTGTGGGGATGGTGCTAGTGATTGGCTATATGTGTTTAGGGGAGTGGTTATGGGTTTGTAGTGGGGCAGGGATCATCTTACCTCAGTGCCTTTTGGGATTCTGGCCAGCAAACAACCTCCCCTGCCTCTGTGCTCCTGTTTGTCCTGGGCCTGCATGCTTTTCTAGCTTGAGGGATGGCTGTGGATTCAATCCTGCTGCCCTCAGAGCTGCTGCTGCCCTTGATGATGGCAGGCACCTTCAGGAGCAATGTGCTCCCCTCCAGCATGGCCTGCCTGCCGGTGTGGGTTCACCCTCCCGCGGTCAGGCCTCTCCTGGGCCTCCCACGCGGCTACTGCCCCTGTAGGCCGCAGGAGCATGGGCCAGAGCTTGGCTGACCCCTGTTCCTTCAGGCCTGAGGCACCACCAGGCCCACGTGTCAGCTCCATCTGCTCCATCTGACACGCGGTCTGCTACTACTGCCGTCCCCCACGCACCCCCCAGCCTTGGACAGCGGGCCAGGGGTGCCAGAAGACCTACACTGCATCCTGGGGGGTCTGGGAGGCCTTCCCAGCCCCCACGTGGTCAGCGCACGGCGGATCCAGAGCTAGGCCAGTAATGGGTGTGAGCTCCTCTCCACGGCTCTTCACACAGGATCTGGCTGCAGTTCCTGGGACCGGCCAGCTGCTGGGCTGCTGCTGGGCTGAGCAGTGCTGAAAATGAAGTTAACTCTGTCCTGCCTGGATCATCTTCATTTCCTTTGCCGCGGGAGGTTCCTCGGGCATCGGCTGGTGAGTTCACTAATGTTTCTTCTTTTCAGTCCAGGGGTTCCTCGCTGGGGGGTTTTCTTGATCAGTCAAAAAAAAAAAATTACAAAAAATATAAAATAAAAAAATAAATAAAATAAAGGGAGCAGGGTGCGCAAGCAGGTAGGGTCCCCCCATTAGATGGTCAGCTCCGGTTAGTGTGGTCCCCGGCACTCCAGCCACAGGTTTTTTTTGTCTGTTTTTGGGGTCACGCTGTTACCCTCTCCTGGAGTGGGTGTGCATGCTGGCACCCCTGCTACGGCGTCGGGTGCCGCGGCACCTGCTGCTGCTAGGGGGTCCCTAGCATTAGGTGACCGCCCAGGTTTGCCGTTTCGCGTGGGTCCGCCTATGTGTTGGTCAGGGCCCTTGGGCTTGCACCTTCAACAGGAGGTTCGTAAAAAATTTGGAGGGGAAAAAAAAAGACAAGGAGAAATGCCAGTACAGGAAGATCCCTATAACTTGCGCAAATTGGATTTGCGCGTTTGCAATCCTGGCCAGTGTAACTGGGGAAAGGGCTCCGCAGAAGTGTTCCAAATTGTTCTGCTACCAGGATACCATTTGGAACGCTTGTTGTACCTATGGCAGTCTGGGATGGTGGAAATATGACTAGCAGTTCTGTCAACAGTTGGCGGGGGGGTCCTCCTCCTCACCGGCCTCGCATCGGAGGCCGGGCTGTTGTTTACGGACGCAGCTGGCGAGGTGGGGTTTTTGGCCATTCTGGGCTCTAATTGGTGTGCTCCCGTGTGGCCGGACAGTTGGCATGTCTCTGGGCTCACAAAGAATCTGGGCTTTTTGGAGTGTTTCCCCATTTTGGTGGTGGGGGAGGTCTGGCAGTCACGTTTCAGAATCTAAGGGTAGTGTTTCACTGCGACAATTTGGGGGTTGTTCAAGCCATTTCTCGGCTGACAGCCTCCTTCCCTCGCTTGCTTAAGGGGCAATCGCCTCGCAGGCGGATCTGGAGGGGACGCCTTGCCCGGCGGACAGTCTGGCAGAGTGACTGAATGGGTCCGTGGATCGGTTTCCATGGCCACCTGGACGCTATGCTCCGGGGGGGCCGTGCATGTTGGGGTTTTAGTGATTCCTAGTAGGCCATGCGGTGGTGGGGTATTGTTTGCCGCCAGTCGGCGCCCTGCAGATCATATCACTATAAGTGTTTGACAATCCAGGTCGAATGTTGTTTTGGGAAGGGTATGGCGGTTCGGCTGTTGCACTTTTCCTTTGTAGAGAACTGTGAGCTGCGCCCAGTATGCACGGGCCCTCTTTTGAGTTATGCGGATGTGATTTATTTTTATTACCCATTCCCAATTTTTGGGTCTTTCGCTCAAGTCTGATGGTTCTGGGGACAGTCAGCAAAGAATCTTGTGTCATTCCTTTCGGTTTAGC